CACGTGCTGCTGATCCTCCATGTCCAGGTGGCAGCCCGGCTGGGTCCATCTCCCCTCCCAGCTCCTTCAATTCTGATTTCTCTACATCCATAATGAGTCCCGCTCATTACTGGGGAATAAACTTTACTTTAAAACTCCTTGGTGGTCAGTTTCTTGTGCCTCAAACCTTACAGTATCGTCACTTACAGTTTTTCCCAAACTTTGCTGGCATCTTTGTAAATAGTCCCTTTACCACACGCTTCTCAAATGACCCACTCTGAGCACGCCGAGTGTGCATCTGTTTTCTGCTGGGATCACGACAGCTAGAGTGTTTCTTTGGGGATCATAATTAGCCTTACTCTGACTGCCAAAAATAGTTTTCAGTCAGCTGTAAGCAGGGTACATTTTCCGGCTTCTGGGACTGTCCTTTAAATGATGGATTTTATCTACAATATATTTACTGGACAGACTGAGTTCTCATTATTTTTTTTTTTAAATATATTTTTATTGATTTTTTTACAGAGAGGAAGGGAGAGAGATAGAGAACTAGAAACGTCGATGAGAGAGAAGCACCCACCAGCTGCCTCTTGCACACCCCCTACTGGGGATGTGCCCGCAACTAACATACATGCCTCTGACCGGAATCGAACCCGGGACCTTCCAGTCCGCAGACCGACGCTCTACCACTGAGCCAAACCGGTTTCGGCATCATTATTTTTGAGGTGAAAATGTATTAATTAGAGTAATGTCTGGTTGTAAGCGACAGAATACGTGAAATGACATGTTTCTTTCTCACATAAACATCTAGGCTGCACTCACCTCTTCCCATGACCACACCAACATTACAACTAAATTATGGAACGATCAGCCTGGAGAACCATCCTAAGACTCGCTGAACAGAAGTCCTATAACTAAGGAAAAAATGGAGAAACTACGTGGAGATTGGTAGGAAGGGTAGAAACACAAAAGGGGCCGGCCCCACACCGCATGAGAGGTGGAGAATCCCGAGGGATATCTCAGCTGCAGAGGTCTCTCAGACCCACCCAAGGCTTCCCAGCCTGGAACACCAGTGCCAGGAAGAGGAGGCCACGTAATATCTGACTGTAAATATCAGTGGGGTTTCCACCATCCTCATGAAATGGAAGGCTGCTAGAAACCCAGACATCTTCTTAAAGGGCCCACATACAGAGGGACAGTGGCTAAGGGGGTGCCAGAAATATGCACGGCAGTTGGGTGCTACCTTTCCTGTGTTGAGCTGGGGCCAATTTAACCTACATTAGCCTAGCTCCAGCCTGAGGACTCCGTGAAACTTGGCCAGACCTCAAGGTCTGCAGGCCCTACATGGGTGGCAGCTGTACCCTGAGACTTTTGCTGAGGAAGAATTAACATTGTTAAAATGTCCATACTACCCAAAGCAATTTATATTAATAGATTCGATGTAATCCTATCAAAATACCAATGACATTTTTTCACAGAACTAGAACAAATAATTATATAAAGTCACAAAGACCCTGATTAGTACAACCAATGGACATAAAACTCTGGGGAGGGAGGGGATATGTGGGAGGGAGGGAGAGGGGCAAAAAAAAAAAAAAAAGTAAAAATAAATAAAATAAAAAATTGAAAAAAAAACCAAAAAACAAAAAAACAAAGACCCTGATTAGCCACAGCAATCTTGAGAAACATGAACAAACTTGGAGGTATCATGCTACTTAACATCAAACAGAATTGAGAACCCAGAAATAAAATGATGTCTTTATGGTTCAATTAATCTATGACAAAGGAGGCAAGAAATATACAATGGGATAAAGGCAGTCAATTCAATAAATACTATTGAGAAAACTGGACAAAGACATATAAAAAATGAAACTAGACACCTTCTTATACCATATACAAGAATAAATTCAAAATGGATTAAAGACTTAAATATAAGACCCAAAATCATAAAACTCCTAGAAGAAAACAGAGGCAGTAAATTTTCTAACATTGCTCTTAGTAATATAATATATAATATATATTTTTCCTGATACAACTCCTTGAGTAAGGGAAACAAAGGAAAAAATAAATAAATGGGACTATTTCAAATTGAAGTTTTGCATAGAAAAGGAAATGTCAACGAAATAAAAAGATAACCAGCTTGTCCTGGCCAATGTTCTAAGTGGTTAGAGCATCAGTCTGTGCACTGGAGGGTCAAAGATTCAGTTCCCTACCTGGGTTGAAAGTTCAATCCCCACTCCTGGGGGAACATGTAGGAGGCAACCAATCAATGTGTCTCTCTCACATAGATTTTTTTTCTCTCTTCTCTTCTCTTCTCTTCTCTTCTCTTCTCTTCTCTTCTCTTCTCTTCTCTTCTCTTCTCTTCTCTTCTCTTCTCTTCTCTTCTCTTCCTCTCTCTCTCTCTCTCTCTCTCTCTCTCTCTCTCTCTCTCTCTCTCTCTCTCTCTCATCTCTTTCATCAATAGGAAAAATACCCTTAGTCCTCCAGTGAGGATTTAAAAAGACATCCTACTGAATGAAAGAAGATATTTGCCAATAATCCATCTGATAAAGGGTTAATATCCAAAATTTATAAAGAACTCATACAACTCAACACACACACACACACACACACACACACACACACACACTCCCCCAAACAATCCAATTAAAAATGGGCAGAAGACCTGGATAGAAAATTCTCTAAAGATGACATACAGATGGCCAACAGATATATGAAAAGATGCTCAATGTCACTAATCATCAGAGAAATGCAAATTAAAACCACAATGAAATATCACCTCATACCTGATAGAATGGTTGCCATCAATAAATCAACAAACAACAAGTGTTGGTGTGTATGTGGAGAAAAAGAAATCCTTATGTACTGTTGGTGGAATTGCAAATTGGTGCAGCCACTATGAAAAATAGTATGGAGGGTCCTCAAAAAATTAAAAATAGAACTACTATTTGGTCCAGCAATTTCATTCCTGGCAATATAGCTGAATAAATCCAAAACACTAATTTGAAATTATATATGTACCTCTATGTTCATTGCAGCATTATTTACAACTAGAGGCCCCAGTGCATGAAATTCATGCATGGGGGCGTGTCCCTCAGCCCAGCCTGCACCCTCTCCAATCTGGGACCTCTCGGGGGAAGTCTACATGCTGGTTTAGGCCCAATCCCACAGGGATTGGACATCCTTCTCACAATCTGGGACTGCTGGCTCCCAATCACTTGCCTGCCTGCCAGATTGCCCCTATCTGCTTGTGCCTGCTAGCCTGATCACTCCTAACTGCTCCTCTGCCAGCCTGATCAATGCCTAGTTGCTCCCCTGACTGCCTAATTGCCCCCAACTTCCCTCCCCTGCCAACCCAGTTGCCCACAAATGCTCTCCCCTCTAGCCAGTTCACCCCCAACTGCCCTCCCCTGCCAGCTTGGTTGTCCCCAATTGCCCTCCCCTGCTGGCCTGGCCACCCCAATTCCCTCTCCTGAAGGCTTGGTTGCCCCTAATTGATCTCCCCTGCTGGCCTGGTCACCCTTAACTGCCTTCCCCTGCTGGCCTGATTTTCCACAACTTCCCTCCCCTACTGGCCATCTTATGATTACATGGGGGTGTCCATCTTGTGACCACATGGGGGTTGCCATCTTGTGCAAGGGTGTGATGGTCAATTTGCATATTACCTCTTTATTATATAGGATAGCCAAGTTTTTTAAGCAACCCAAATGCCCATCAATAGATGACTGGATAAATAAGAGGTAGCACTATTTACAATGGAATATTACTTGGCTATAAAAAGAATGAAATCTTACCATTTGCACAACATGGATTGATCTAGAGGGTATTATGCTAAGTGAAATAAGTCAGGCAGAGAAAGACAAATACCATATAATTTCACTTCTATGTGAAATCTAAAGAACAAAACAAACAAAAACTGATTCAAGGATACAGAGAACAAACTGAAGGTTGCTGTTCTTGGTCTTTTGATTCTGCATCAATGTGAGAATTGGCTAATAAGGTACTAAGAAAACTCTGCTGAAATTTTGATTGGAATCACTTGAAATTAGGTATAAACTTGGAGAGTGATGACGTCTTTACAAAATTGATTTTTCCCTTCCTAGACAGGTGCATATATTTCTATTTATTTAGCTATTCATAAATATTTTCCAATAATGTCTATGTTTATTAATGAATTGTCTGTCTAGAATTAGTACTAGCTAACTTTACCCCCCCTTTTTTCTATTATAAATGGTTTAAAAAGAAAAAAAATTTCATTTTAAAAAATCAGCAAGGAATTACTTTACCTCATATAAAGTTATTCAAAGGTAAGCCAAACATGGGCACGTTCTGATATGCTATAGAAGGCCAGGCTCCTTGGGTCTTCCTCTTGCACCATGGCTCTGACTTATCCTCTTGGCCATAATCTGGCTCCTCCAGCTGGAGGGGTGGGGTCCTGGTCCCAGGAGAGAAGGAATGAATTGGAAGAAGAAAGGAGAGAATGCCGGCAAGACTGACCACTTTATCTCTAGTAATGCTTTTTGCCTTAATGTCTGATTTTAACAGAGCGGTACCAATTTATTTGTTATAAATGTTTCCCATCCTATTACTCTCAATCTTTCCGTATCCTTGTTTTAGACATGTTTCTTGTAAATAGTACCTGGGTGAAGTTTAAAAAATACAGTGGGCCAGCAACTCTCGATGCTGGGAATGGGCTTGCTCTTGGCTCACTCTCCACTGCCTCCCAAGGGAAATTCATTGGAATAACTAAGTGCGAAGCTGGGACCAACAATGTAAGAGTTTATTATCATCACTACTCAAGAGGGGACATGAAGTGGGACAGTATGGTGGAGGAGTGCAAGAAATAGGTGAGAGGCACTGTGAGGGTTGGTGGACAGGATGTGGCTGTGGCCCTGGCTGTGGGGCAGGACAACTGGGGTCACTAGAAGGTCTCATTTTCTTGGTCTGGTTCTTATTCCAGGAGTCAGATGCAGGGACATGGGTGCAGAAGGAGCTCCAGGCATGAGTACTCAGGAGAGGCAGGGCTAGATTATACTTGCTCCCAGCAGTGGCTTCTGGTCTTTTTTCTAAGGGAGGAAGAGGAAGAGGAAGAGGAGGAGAAGGAGATGAGCCAACACAGAGGGGGAGAGGAATAATAAATTCTCTCCTCAAAGGCAGCTTAGTTCTGGACTTCCCTGGATTCCTGGTGTCTTTGGCCTAGGGCCATGTGGTCAGGAACAGTGTCTCTCTGGGCTGGGACACCACTGGGGTAGAAATACAGGCATGATGTTCTTGGGACTCACTGTCATGGGGCCTTTTCTCTTGCCTTGCCGCCCACTCTCCATTTTATCTCCTAGCTGCATAGCCTCCTGCCCCAAACACACAGACACATATGTTGGGACTCACCTCCTTGGGTTGGAGTCTTCTCCAGCAGTACAGAAGTATAGGGGTCAGAGAAGTCAGAAGCAGCAGAACCCAGATACTCAACAGCATGGCCTTAAGGCCAATGGTCAGGGCCTGAGAACAGAGGAGCCAAGCTGCAGGCACCAGAGTGACTGTTGCCATCTGTGATCTGTCCCTAGCCTCATCACCGACACACAGACACCCTCCACCCTGGTCTGTAGGGGGCTGGAGGGGACCAAGGAAGGAGCACTGTGTGTGGCAGGGTCAACAGGTCTAGTGTACAAGAGCACCCAGAGGTCCCTCTCCTTGAGCCTCAGCATCCTCATCTGAATAGAAATTGGCCTGGGCTATAATTTGGTTTCCCAACTGCCCCGAACTTGACAAGACCCAGGGAAAAGGTGCATTCATGCCTTTGCAGCACTTCACACACTGGGGATATTGATTCACTTACTGTTGTTTCAGTGTTTGTGTTCCCACTAGGTTGTGACACCCACAACCACAGGAACTGTTTCTGTTTGTTCAACACCATCATCTGTGGTGACAGTAGTCAAGCTTGGTGCAGAAGAGGTGACACTGTTTTGGATGCACTGTCTGTGCTGCTCCTCTCCCTTGCCCACCTACCTTGCTCAGGTCCAGGTAGAACAGGCACTAGTGCTGCCTGTTGGCTTCTTCAGGAGTGCTGGTGGGGAGGGTAGGCGCCCAGGGGCGGCTGGTAGGCGCCCAGGACGGGGGGCTAGTACACAATTCCTGTTCAAACCCATAGCTTAATTCCTGGAAATAATAAGCCCCAGTGTAGATGGCTTCAATGGCCGTGGCGAAAGCTGCCAGGGCAAGCAGAGTCCTCAGCAGGGCCTGAGATGAAGAGGAGACAGGGAGACCTCATGATTCAGTCTCCCTGGGGGACCAGTGCAGGGGAAGGAGGTTCAATGGGGTGGGCGGGAGATTTGGGGTGGCCTCCAGCTTCTGCCTTTCCCCGAACTCACCCAGCAGGTGCCACCCCATTTCTCGTAAATGAAGCAAATGACTCCAGCCAGCACAGCCTGGGGAAAGATGGGACACATAAGCCCTTCTATTATAGCTGCCCAAATCTCTGTCCCTCTGTAACTCTCACAGGTAGAGCTGGCCTTGCCCCAGAACATATGTTGGCTGGGAGTTTTGAGCTAAGCTAGTAGTGAGGGAAGGTAGCAGTGAGGGTGTGGAGGCCTGGATGACTCCTCAGGCTGCGTGACACTCTGTTTTAGTGACATTAAAGGTGCTAGTGGTCAAGCCAGGTGTGAACTCTCTCTTTCTCCAAAGTCTTTCTCTTTAAGCCACCCCAGTGCTTTATGCAAGTTCATGTGGAAGACCTGGGCTGTTGGAGAAGTTCTCAGTTCAGGATGAGTCTGCCCTGCCTCAGGTTGGCGCCTGTCCCCACACTGCTCTGCTCCTGAGTTCATGGAACAGGAAATCTGGTCCATCCGGTGGATGGATAGTGACTTCGGCCCCTCTTTCAATAAATATGTTTTGCTGTTATTTTGTGAGTGTGTATGAGTTTGCCAAGTGGCTTCAATCCCACCATGACCTGCCCACCAAGCTGCCACTGCAGATCACACCCCTCCCATCTGTTGACATTAGCCATTGTCCTTCAATGACACCTACATGGTCCCTGTGGGGCAGAACCTGCAGAGGGCACTGTGAAAGGACTAGGAGGTGGCCTTCTCTGTGGGCCTACACCTTGCAGCGCAGGATGCCTCCCATCTCTATGCAAGTGTCTGACGATTAGCTGGGGCCTAGATACTTAGTTTATATTTGCTGTTGAAAGTGAGGAGTGGCAGCCAGCTTGGTGGAGGAGGCTCTGGGCAGAGATCTGGGAGAGCTGACTTATGCCACTACCTTCCTTGACTCTTTAAAAAATTTAAAAAAATTATTGATTTTAGAGAGGAAGGGAGAGGGATATATATATATCAATGATGAGAGAGTCATTGATTGGCTGCCCCCTGCAAGACTCACACTGGGGATCAAGTCTTCAACCTGGACATGTGCCTGGATTAGGAATCAGACCATGACCTTCTGATTCATAGGTCGATACTCAAACACTGAGCTATGCCGGCGGACTGGTTCTTTTCTCATCTGTTGAAACAGGGGATCGGTCTCGAGAACTTAGGTTCTTTTGGGTTGCCAACATTCCACAGTACCACATCGATGGTGGCGTTATTGATGGTGTTGGGCAGTCCCTTCTGATAGGTCCACTGACCCGCCCGCCATGCTCTGGCCCCACTCACCACAGCCCCTGTCCAGATGCCAGCGACCCATCTGGCCATGGCATACGGGTAATTGTTGGAGAATGCGATGCAGCCAAGTCCTCCCAGGACCCCACTCATCAGCCCCAGCATGATTTGTACCACCTGAAAGATGAAGAGCTTAGAACCTGGCCCCCAAGTCTCAGAGAAGCTTTAAGAACCTGCTGCTCCAGGTGCTCACTGTGAGAACCCCATACAAGAGGAAGAGAGGAAGGTAGAGAAAGAGAGGTGAGGTAGGGACAGGAGACTGAGGAAGGGGTGCCAACCATTCTGTATCTGGCCCAGGGGAGAGGCTGGGCTCGGGGTTCCACAGGCTGGGATTTTCAGTGGTCAGCTCTCTAGCCCTCAGTGTACCCTACCTACAGTTTTCACCAGGAAGGCCAGCTAGTGATGAAGAAAGCTAAAAACAGAGCAGGGGAATGATCTCTAGGCATTAGATACAACAGACTCAATGTCCTATTCAGATTGCGGCTGCAGAGAGTGAGCGTGGCGAGAGAGGGAGACTCTCCTTTCCCGATATAGGGGCCTGGGTCCTCCCCTGCTCCCCACAGCCTTGCTCACTGAGGAGGCCACGAGCAGCCGTCTGTGTCCTGGGGTCCAGGAGGTGGTGTTGGGGGCAGAAGGCCACAGCAGGCAGCTTAGGTTCAGCACAGGCTCCTGGTGGATATGCACATCGATGTGGGTGGGCATGGGGGCCTCAGGGGCCTCCTCACCCCCTTCCGCTGTCCTCATGGTCCTGGACATGAGGCTGGAAGAAAAGTTGGCAGATTTTCAGATTCCACTGGAGTTGGGGACTGGTGGAGCCCCCCCCGCTCCCGCCCCCCCCCCCATCCTGGAACAGACTTCCAGAACCCCTCTCAAGGGGTGAGGGGTGTTGTGGCAGGGCAGCCCCTAGAACCTCCCCCTTCATCTCAGATCTGCTCTGTCCCCAGTCTTCCTCCCAGAGCTTCAGGGTCTGGACCAATCAGTGCCTGCCTCCTTCCTTTCTCCCTTCTCTGCTCCCTTGGGGCCATTGCAGCCCTCTCGCTCTACCCCCCTTCCCCCCTTGCTCTGGCTCCTCTCTCAGCCTTTCCCCAGGCCTTCAGGCTGCAGGACAGAACCCCAGTCCCTACTGCCTGTTGAGCTTCTGTTGCTGCAGCTAGGCCTGGGGACACCCCTCAACCCCCCAAGACCTCCCTCTCCACCAGTGGCCACTCAGCCAGCCATGTGGGGTCTGGTGAAACCCCTCCACTCCTGGGATGGACTGTATTGTGGGTGAAGGTAGAGTTAAAAGGGCAGACTGACTGGGCATCAAACAGGGACTCAGGTGGCATCCATTCTTGCCACCTTCCTGGAGTCACATTCTCTATGTCATTGTTGTTTTCTCCTTCTCTCCCTCCCTCCCTCCTTCCCAGCAAGTTCTGAAGGGTGAGGCTGCAGAGGCTGTGAGGGGCAGCAGGATGGAATTCCCCTGGAGTGGGGTCCTGTGAGCAGGTCTGTGGGAAAGTACTGGGGCTGGGGGTTGCCTCACCTAAGCTCCCAGGAATTGGAGGCCAGCGGAGCAGGGAGGCCAGGAGGAGCTGAGCACTGAGACCAGGCTGAGGGTGATCTAGCATCAGGAAGGAGCAGCAGAAAGGGAGTGGTTGGGCTTTAGCAAGCAGTATCCTGGCATCCAGCTGGGCAAAGGGGCCCCTCTGGGGTTTTCCAAGGTTGAGTGGATCACCAGGAGCCAGATGGCTTTGCCTGTGCTGTGGATGTGTTCGCCCAGTGTGTGTGCAGTCTGAGTAGGTATGAGTGTGTGTGTGTGTGTGTGTGTGTGTGTGTGTGTGTGCTCTGCTGTCTCCAGCCACCTGATTATCTGCTCAAGTCAGTACCTCCCAAGAAGGGCCCCAGCTGTTTTCTGGGAAGTTGTGATGCTGAAGGTCAGACCCCATCTTCTCTCCCCCTTCTGTCAGCTCTTCTCCCTCCCACTAGAAAGCAGGTCCTCAAGTCCAGGCCAGCCCCTCCCAGCCCTGCTCTGTGGGGTGCCGACTCCCAGGGGACAGCAGGTGAGTGGGGCCTGACAGCCCAGGTGGCCCCTCACTGCAGGATCTCTGTCTCTCTGAGTCCCCCAGACCAATCTCTAAAGCCCCATTCTATTTCACAGGATGTTATTATCTCTCCATTCCTGTTCCCATAGGATTGGCTGGATGGGAGGGGGGCTGTGTCTGGCATGTGCCAGGGCCTCAAGCCTTTATTCTGGGTGAGGTGGCTGAGGCTCAGGCGGTTGGGCGGTGAAAGATTCCTTCAGAGTGTGGCCTGGTCCCCTCTCCCCAGCTCCAGGGGATCCTGGTCCCCTCTCCCCAGCTCCAGGGGATCCTGGTCCCCTCTCCCCAGCTCCAGGGAGTTGGCAGTAGGAAAGAGCCCATAGCCTGGAGACAGGGTGGTGTGGGTGGGAAAGTTGATATGTAATATTATATTAGGTTTATAACACAGTGATTAGACATTTATATAGTTTATGATATGACCATCTCAATAGGTCTAGTATTCATCTGACACCATATGTAGTTATTATAATAGAATTATTATTTTAAAATTTCACCTTAAACATTTTTAATTGATTATAGAAATATCAATGAGAAAGAAACATCAATTGGCTACCTCCTGCATGCCCCCAGGGATCAAGCCTGAAACCTGAGCATGTGCCCTAACTGGGAATCAAACTGTGACCTCCTGGTTCATGGGCAGACCCTTAACCACTGAGCCATGCCTACCGGGCTATTACAATATTATTGACTCTATTCACTATGATGTACTTTACATCCATGTGACTGTTTTTATAGCTTGCAATTGGCATATCTTAATCCCTTCCAGTTTTTCTGCTCATTTCCTCTGCCCCTTTACCATCTGGCAACCATCAAAATGTTCTCTAAACCTATGAATTTGTTTCTGTTTTGTTTGTTTATTGATTATTATTTTTTTAAAGAATCTATGTATACATGATATAGTATGGCATTTGTTTTTCTCTGTCTGATTTATTTTACTTAGCACAGTACCTTCTAGGTTAACCCATGTTGTTATAGACGACAAAATTTGATTATTATTTTACTAGAGACTTGGTGCATGAAATTTGTGCACAGGAGGTGGGGAAGGAGGAGGGGTTGGTCCCCTCTGTTTGGCTTGCGCCCTCTCACAATCTGGGACCCCTGGATCCTAACAGCTCACCTGCCTGCCTGCCTAATTGCCCCTAACACTCTGCCTGACTTCCTGATCACCCCTAACCATGAGTGGATCCCTGGGCCTAGGACCATCCTTCCCTCCCTCCCTCGAAGCCTTGGGTGGGCAGGTGCCTGGGCCGGGGACTGTCCCTCTCTACCTCCCTTGCAGCCTTGGGCGGGTGAGTGAGTGTCTGTAGACTTGGCTTTGTCCAGAAGGATGGAAGAAGGTCTAGAACAATTTCTGGCCTATCTAATTAGCATATTACCCTTTTATTATATAGGATTGCTGAGTAATATTTCATTGTGTATATGTACCATCTCTTCTTTATCCATTTGTCTATCCATGGACACTTAGATTGGTTTCATATCTTGGCTATTGTAAATAATGCCCCAATGAACATAGAAATGCTTATGTCTTTTCAAATTAGTGTTTTGGGTTTCTTTGGGTAAATATCCAGAAGTGGAATTGTTGGATCTTTCTTTGTCTCTTGTGATAGCCTTTGTTATAGACTTTGTAGGTATTACTACTCCAGCTTTTTAAAATTGCTATTTGCATGAAATATATACTTTTTTCATCTGTTTACTTTAAGTTTGTGTGTGTCTTTCAATCTGAAGTGAGTATCTTGTAGGTAGCATATGTATGGGTCTTGTTTTATTAACCATTCAACCACCCTATGTCTTTTGATTAGAACATTTAACCATTTATATTTAAAGTAATTACTAATAGGTATGTAGTTATTGCCATTTTATTATTCATATTTTTTAATCTTTTTACTTCTTCTTCTTGAAGAAGTTCCTTTAAGATTTCTTGTAATACTGGTTTGGTGATGATTAACTCCTGAAGCTTTTTCTTGCTTGGGAAGCCCTTTATCTCTCCTTAATTTTAAATTATAGCTTTACTGGAAGAGTAATCTTTGTTGCAATTCCTTTCTTTTCATCACTGAATATTTTGTGCCAATCCATTATGGCCTGCAAAGTTTCTGTTGAGAAATTGACAGTCTTATGGGTGCTCCCTTGAATGTAGTTAATTGCTTTTCTCTCTTTGTCTTCAACCGTTGTCATTTTAATGATGTGTCTTGGTGTGGGCCTCTTTGGGTTTCTCTCATTTGGCTCTCTCTGCTTCCTGGATTTGTATGTCTATTTCCTTCACCAAATTAGGGAAGTTTTCTTTTGTCTTTAAAAAAATATTTTTATTGATTTCAGAAAGAAAGGGAGGGTAGAGATAGAAGCATCAATGATGAAGAGAATCATCGATTGGCTGCCTCATGCATGCTCCTAATTGGGGATCAAGCCTGCAACCCAGGCATACACCCTGACCAGAATCAAACCTAGGACCCTTCAGTCAATAAGCAAACACTCTATTCACTGAGCCAAACCAGCTAGGGCTAAGTTAGGGAAGTTTTTTTTGTCATTATTTCTTTAAATATGTTCTCAATCTCTTGCTCTCTTGTTTCCCTGTGATATGAATGTTGTTATACTTGAAGTTCACAGGTCCCTTAAACCAGTAGTTGGCAAACTAATTAGTCAACAGAGCCAAATATCAATACTACAATGATTGAAATTTCTTTTGAGGGCCAAATTTTTTAAACTTAAACTTCTTCTAATGCCACTTCTTTAAAATGGACTCACCAAGCGGCCAGGCCCGGGGGAGCAGCCGGGTCGGGTGTGGCCAGGCCCGGAGCAGCGGCTGCCAGGCTGGGAGCGGCCAGGCCCAGAGCAGCCGGGTCGGGAGAGGCCAGGCCCGGAGCAGCCGGGTTGGGTGCGGCCAGGCCTGGAGCAGCGGCTGCCAGGCTGGGAGCGGACAGGACCGGAGCAGCCGGGTTAGGTGCGGCCAGGCCCGGAGCAGCGGCTGCCAGGCTGGGAGCGGCCAGACCTGGAGCAGCCGGGTTGGGTGCGGCCAGGCCCGGAGCAGCGGCTGCCAGGCTGAAAGCGGCCAGGCCTGGAGCAGCCGGGTCGGGTGCGGCCAGGCCCGAAGCAGCAGCAGCCAAGTCCAGAGCAACTAGGTCGGGAGCGGCAGTGACCAGACCCGGAGCAGCTTGTTATGGAACGAACCAGAGCAACAGAGGCCAGGCCCTGAGCAGCCAGGCTCGAAACAGCTCGCTCCTCACCTGCCCCTGCCCCACGGCTGCCTCTCAGACATGGCTGGAAACTTTTGCGGGAACTTGAGGGTCTGCTGAATCAAGTGATGAAGGCTTAGATCTGGATGTGTTGAGTTAGTATAGGGTTGGGGTGTTGATCTGTGAGTGCCTTGGATGGGGCCTGGATGAGGCTAGTTGACCTATTGGGAAATGTCTTTTGTGTGAAGTGTATCATTGGGCATGTGGAGGTATTATTGATATGAGAAAATGCTAAGTAACTGAATTACTATCTGAAAAGGGATTTACTATCGGGGAAAGGGAGGGAAGAAGAGACTGAACATAAACTGTGCACCTATGGATGAGGACAATGGGGGATGGGGAGGAGGCGGAGGGTGGGGTGGGAACCTGGTGGAGGGGGGAAGAAATGAGGAACCTTTGTAATAATATGAACAATAAAGATTGATTTAAAAAAATAAAA